AATTCCACTCTTTCTGACCTGCCTAATCTTTTAAGACCAAGCTGGGGTTAATGGGCTGCTCTTCCCCCACCAACTCCTGATGGATGAGTAGGATATCCAGACTGCTGTATAGAAAACGCTGTATTAGAGCACTGCAGAAGGATGTGACAGTATAAGCTGCACAACACGATCTATGATAAAGTAATTTATGCATGAGTACTGGACCGCAAGTGAATAGAAGATACATTTTCATGATTAGCCGAGCAGAGGTCATGCGTAAATGGATATCAAATAGCATCCCTTCTGACAAAAATCATTAATCTGACTGTAATAGTTCCCATTTACTGGAATGTTTTTTTCCTCTCCACTGGGAGGTAGCTTATAAAACATTATATTTTAACAGACAGAAACCACATTTCCTGCTGCCTGGGATACTGTATATGACGTTTTCTTCATATTCTCTTATTTAAGGGAAGAGACTGGAAGCGGTGGCAATTTAGGAGTGCAGTGGGTAATATTTCAGATTGAATTTAGTGTTAAATACACTCCTACAACATATATAGTTTTTATATTTAGTGTGAAATTTTGTTATAAACACAAGACAAATAGTTTAATGAACAAGAGGTTAATATGAGTAACTTACAATTTATAGTTCCAAATAAAGCAAGCACAGGATTATTGCGAGTTTCTGAGCAATCGTTTCTGAATGAATCAATGTTTATGAACAAATTGCTTGAGTGAATCATTCAGTGACTCACTCATAAAGACAGCCAGTTATTGTGAACTAATAGCGTAACGATATAGTGCAAGAATTTTCAATTCAATTTGGACAATGTGGCCATTTTTAATTATTTTTTGGGCTGTCCCCCTCAATATCTATGTTGTTTACGGCCCTGTTTCGTCTAGATGGACATCTTTTAACAGCTGCACTCATGAGGCTTTCTTTTTATTCTCTTATTTAAGAGAAGAGACGGGAAGTGTTAGCACTACCACAGCAAATTTCCTCGTTTTTATCTCAAAACTGATAGATATCTTTAAAAATTCCTCACACAATGGCTACTGTCGAGCATGTTGGCAATCCAAACGTACCACCTGCCTCCTCTCAGAGTCCCAACCCTGTAATTGTACGTTGACTTGACAGACAGCTACATTATGATCATATGAAACAGAGCTAATCATGCTTTCCTGTCTCTTTCATCTGCACCAATGAGCTCCAATGACATTTCACTTCTGCGCCACAGATGAGGAAAGGCCTTCTGTGACCCTCGTTTTTCAGGCCTGCTCACATGCAAAGCAGGTTATACAAGAGTTTTAAAAGAGCATTCAGCAGGCGACCGCAATCACAGGCCCTCAGAAATAAAAGTGATTATAAGCGTCAGCGTGTTCCTTATATTAAGCCCCGTCTGCTTTCTATCTATTCTGCCCAGAAATTTGTAGGCAATTAAATAAATTCCCATGTCCGTGCCTGGCAGTCATTAGTCTAATATCGGCTTTCAAGGGAGCACAGAGGCGGCGGTCGCAGTGCCAGGTCACATCACGAGAGACGGCGAACCTCTGCTTCCCGTTTGCCCTCTCCTCTTTATATTGCCATTCATTTTCCATCAGCAATACGATGCCAGCATTATGCTTGACTGATGTGGGGAGACAGAGCAATTTCCTGAGACACTTAACACCAGGTCACAAGGGGTTGAAATACGATAGACAGATACAGCCATTCAGAGGCTGCTACTCGAGATGATGCCAACCCAGATGTTATGTCAATGGCTCAGGGTGAGGAAAAAACTTTCTCAGTGCTTCGATTTTCAAGGACGGCAAAATTGTGCCTCGAGTGCGCTTTCAATTTGCCCAAAGGAACGAGGTGAAAGCGAGACCTCCTTCGAGTAGATATTCAAACGCATTCATTCAACTGCCTCATGGAGGAGACTAAATATGGAAATTAACTTTGACTGCCAGATGTTTCCTCTGTGTAATAGAAGTCATTACCATCACATTTAGCACTTCGTTTCCAAAGCGCCTCACATTACGCGGTGACACGTATTCCTCCGCGAGCTCGGTAACAGTGCATTATGCGCAGATAATGATGACTTTGTTATCTTGTGGTCTGTGAGGTCCATTTCCCAGCTTCCCTAACTACAAATGTCAGCCCCGACAGGCAATTACAGGAGTCCGATTACTCCTTTCTCTACTATCGCGCTCCAATCTCAGAGACCCCTGGCGTAGTGAAGAGCTAAAGGTAATTTTCCCCCGGGCCTCAAACAAGGCCATGAACTTGGCTATTAAAGGCCTAACAGGTTTTGTCCGAGCAGTCTGCTGAATGCCTGAGTGACACCCAGTCGATATTCTCCATCCTCCTGGGTCATCTCAACTGTCAGCGGTCTGAGGGTAGAAAAAGCTGCACTCAAGCCCTGATGACAAGTGAAAATCAGCCATAAAAAATGTTGAAAGACATTATTCATAAGTTTCAGAATAGGTTTACAGACGTTAAAGGTTTGCTGCATTAGCTGAAGCACTCAAAATAAAGTAAAGAAATGTACTTGAATTGCTCAGATAATCGATATGATAGCAAGCATCATATGTGGACATGTTTTTGTCCACCTGAGAGGTGGAAGTTCTTCAGCGGCTTCAGGATGTAATGAAAGCGCGACAGCTCCACCTGCTGGACACATACAACTCCACGAAACATTCCCTGCGTCCCAATGTGCATACTATCCACCCCATCTGCCCTAAATAGTATTGAAAATTCCTAATATCACATAGACTTTAGGATGGATAGTGTGCAGATTGGGACGCAGGCATTTAATTTTCAACAGAATATAGAAATTTGTTATTAATTTACACTTATTTTTACTACTGTTTTTAATAGCAAAATAATACATACTGTAATAATCTCTCATACAAAAAAAAAAAAATAACTCATTCATTCATTCATTCATTCATACAACAGTTGCATTTCGGTTCAATTCGTTTTTGTTCCGGTTGTACAACTACATACTACAGTGCAACACTGTACACGCAGGCATTTAATTTTCAACAGAATATAGAAATTTGTTATTAATTTACACTTATTTTTACTACTGTTTTTAATAGCAAAATAATACATACTGTAATAATCTCTCATACAACAGTTGCATTTCGGTTCAATTCGTTTTTGTTCCGGTTGTACAACTACATACTACAGTGCAACACTGTACATTACTCAACATGCAGCTTGAAAGTTTACCATGGCTGTCATAATGTTCACTTTCCACATAAATGTATTGAATTTATCCACTAACAATACAGAATAATATATTCAACGTGGAGGATATAGTCGTTTTTTACTAAGTTCCCCATCACGGTGTCATTTCTACTACAACTTAAAGACGTATTCTCGTTCAATCAAAAGATTAAATGAAATGACGGTTATGGAAACATTTTTCAAATTAAATGTCCGACACCTCTGCACTACTAATGCTAATGTTAAAGAGCTTTTAAATACTCACAAATAAATATTTTTTTTGAAATAACTGTCCAAATTACACTTTGACTGGAAAATGGCGGACAATAAAAAAAATGTTCCGTTAACAGGAATATTTACCTTGTTTTTTCTGTTTTCTTCATACAACACGTCCCATAACTCACCTCAAGCTCTTCACGATGTAAACTAACTTTTGAAAAGGCTTCATTGGGGCAGAATCTTTGGTTGTGGTGAAAATGACACCAGCTCTGAGGGACAGTCAAAACTGAAATAGATTTTCACACATTTTTTATTTAAATAATATATTCCCATGTTTTAAGACATAAAACTAAAATTTAAAGTAGTAAAACCTGTACACATTAAAAAGCAAAAATAAATTATGAGGCATATTAAAAAAAAAAAAAAAATTATGTAACTAATGCACGAAAATAAACCCTGTTGAAATCTGTTAGTTTTAATAAAAACTAAGCCCTGGGACATATGTGTCTTAAGAAATAATAATTTTAAAAAAATTACACAATATTTTTTTTGAAATAACTGTCCAAATTACACTTTGACTGGAAAATGGCGGACAATAAAAAAAATGTTCCGTTAACAGGAATATTTACCTTGTTTTTTCTGTTTTCTTCATACAACACGTCCCATAACTCACCTCAAGCTCTTCACGATGTAAACTAACTTTTGAAAAGGCTTCATTGGGGCAGAATCTTTGGTTGTGGTGAAAATGACACCAGCTCTGAGGGACAGTCAAAACTGAAATAGATTTTCACACATTTTTTATTTAAATAATATATTCCCATGTTTTAAGACATAAAACTAAAATTTATAGTAGTAAAACCTGTACTCATTAAAAAGCAAAAATAAATTATGAGGCATATTAAAAAAATAATAATTTTTTATGTAACTAATGCACGAAAAAAAACCCTGTTGAAATCTGTTAGTTTTAATAAAAACTAAGCCCTGGGACATATGTGTCTTAAGAAATAATAATTTTAAAAAAATTACACTATTCATATCATGCTTATAAATGTTATGCACATCTCTGTGCCTGCAGGAATTTCACATCTTTCAAATGAGCAATTTCCAAGACAGACTGCAGAACAAAATGAAAATGTTTTGACACTACAGATGAAGGTGTTTTTATCAGCAGTAGCACATGCAACTGGTACATGACTCTGAGAGAGAGAAAAAAAAGTTATAATAATTCCCCAGGAGCCATAACCATCATGCCAAAAGTAGTGAAGACAATATAGAGTGATGCGGTGCCCAAGATCTCAATGAACAGTTACAATACTATTAACACCACACATTCATAGCTCAGCCTCTGGTTCAGCTCCATCAGGAAACGAGCGCATATGCAGTCAGTCACCAACCGGCCTGATGAGAATAGCAGTGTCATTTCACAGGGATTTGAGCAGAATAAATACACAGCAATTTCTCCCTCGAGGGCTTCTCATACCTGGAGAGTATGATGAAACCTCCTGCAATATGGCGTCTCATTTTTTCCCTAGAAACCCAAGATATTTGTTGAAAATCAAGCAGAATGTGCAATGACGACCACGGGTTTCAGGTTTTACACACTTTATTCCTAAAACATTGGCTGCACCATCCATAGCGGCACACAATTGTATGTACACATTTATATACACACACACAATTCTCTAAATCTGTGATATAAAATATATAATCCGACAATGTTCCTCTTGTCCTCTTATTTGAACACATTAAATTGCTGTACAGGAATTCTGTAGCTACAGACTATCTTAAAGTCCCCACCACACAAAGGTAAGAACGCGAGCTCCTGTATACTTCGTCTGTACACTGTGACAGTAAAAATTGTGGAGAAAATATTTCTCTAAATATTCCTCTAAAAGCCACCTACAGCAAATTCACTTGTCGGTTCTGTAATTAAGACAATTACATACATGACAAACCATTTTCAATTCATTTAAGGCGGCAATATGCAGCTTCCTGCCTTTATATAATATAAAAGATTAAGAAATTACACATTTAAAAACGTACAATAAATAAGATATATGCAGGCATTTCAACTGGATAAAACCTGACCCAAACTGCACTTTCAGGCCATTATCAGGACTTTGAGTTCATTGAGATGGACTAGTTCCTTTGCCTCCAGTTGCTGTGAGATGAACACTTGGCATGAACTGGGCAGCCTGGCATCGCAGTAAGTGCGCTGTCTGATTGAAGTGGCTTTGTCCAGCCTGCGGCGGCAGTGCAGTGATGCTGTGTCTCTGCAGGGTCTGCTGTGAGAAATCATGGCAACGCTTGTGCAGAACCCCTCATTTGTTAGAGCATGTTCATTATGAAGTTGTGCATTTGGTTGAGCACAACAAAGTGCACGGGCAGACAAGAGCGGCGGTCCTGAGTCGCTGGGTCACAGGTCAGCCATGACAGGGCGTTGTACTGTTCCAGCACAAATCTGCAAAAACAACAAATGTGTAAGAAATCCTTTATTCATTTAAAAATGTGGATAGTACAATTATTTCATTAAATACACATCATCATGTCATTCCAAACACACAAGACTTGCATTTATTTTCAAAACGCACTCAAAAAATATTTAGGCCTGAATTTAAGATCTATGTATTTGAGTTGCATATAAAATTTCCATCCATTTGGATTCCAAAATTTCACCATAAACTAATAAACTTACTGTGGTGTATATTTGTCACGCACACATACATAAATGAAAGAGGTAAGATTTCTGCACTCAAAAAAACAATTCAAACTGCTTAGAATCAGCATAAATCTGTTCATTGTGAAAAAATGTTTAAAAGTATACATTTCAAATTCATCAATCTTAAATTTAGGCCTACATTTTTTTTTTAAAGACACCTGCATTGAAAGTCCATTTCATTAAAAATTCATTGTAAAAGTGCTCCATGTGAATCAAGTGGTTTAAGTCTCCTGAAGAGACGATCTCTTTCTAAACGGATTTAATTTATACTTTCGCTCAAATATTAACAATGATCAATGTATATATTTTGAGCTTCTGTTGAGCATATTTGATGAGATTTGTGATTAGAGGCCAAATTTCCAGAGGGGTCCCAATAAGTCTTAAAACTATATAAATGCAGTTATATTGATAAATCTTAGTTAAAATTCTAAAAATCATGTCTCCTCAGAAGAATTAGATTAACTACTTAATTCATATGGATTTCTTTATGTCTTTATGAACATTTTTGAAGCGTCAATGTTTTGGTGGAATTAACTTTTAATGGTGGGAATGAAATCGTAAGTTTCATTAAAAATATCTTCATCTGTGTTTTTAAGATGAATGAAAGTCCCATGGGTTTGAAACATGATGACTGCGGGGTGAACCATTCCTTTAAATAAACAGTTTTTAATGGCTTTAAAAGAAATACTTTCTGGAAAGCAATTTATTCATAAATCAAATCCAGTCTGGAATTGATCATAAATCAGTTGCTCTCCTTGTAAAGTGGATTTATGGAAGCTCCAACAAGTATGAAATAGCATCATGAGGATTACACCATGTGGAATAAATTCATAAATGTACAGAAATATATCAGAGACAAGGGAGATAGGGAAGAGTGCGTGTAAGGGGTCCAGCTGATACCTGAGCACATCTGAGGTATGGCTGGAATCCAGAGGGTGAGAGTGTTTACTGTGCAGCAACTCATCTGACTGCACTGACGAAACATTAAGGTGCAGAGAAGCCTGACAGGAAGACAGAAACATTCATTATATGACACCTCTGCAGCTCTGTTAAACAGATTAGATTGTGAAACATGATTTGGACAATAAAGCTGTAAAGTATCTCTTGAGTGAAATGATTATTACATTAACTGAACAGCTTACCTTCAGGAAGAGAGGACATTGGTTCTTTGCCTGTGGGCAGGATGACCAGAACCAGTCAGGCAGTGGGCCGGCTTTAGCCGTGGACACAAAGTAGCCCAGAGCCATGGGCTGCTGGAGGATGTTAGGAGACTCGTCGTGAGACTCCATCCTGTCTGTGCTCTGGCCCTGAGGACGGGAGAGAGAGATAGCGAGAGGGTGGATTCAGAGCTATGAGAAATTACTACAGCCACTTAAAATGGTTATGCAATAGTATGGATAAAATTCAAAATAATTTCTCATTAGCCCTAAACTTAGTTTAGATTTCTATTTCAAATAAACACTGTTCTTTTAAACTTTCTATTCATCATATAATCATCAAAAACAGTTTCCACAAAAATATTAAAGCAGCAAAACTGTTGCCAATACTGATAATAATAATAAATGTTTTTTGAGCACCAGATTAGCATATTAGAATTATTTCTGAAGAATCATGTGACACTGAAGGCTGGAGTAATGATGCTGAATCATATTAATATTTTAGAATATATATTCAAATAAACATGTAATAAAAAAATATTGTAATAATATTTCACAATATTACTCTTTTTACTGTATTTTTAACAAATAATGCAGCCTTAGTAAACATAAGAGACTTCTTTCAAAAATATTGACTGGCATTATATGCAGAAATTCTTCAAAAAGACAGAGCAAATCAGTTCACCTTGCTGCCGTCTCCTCCGTGGTGGTAATGTGAGCCTGGCGACTGTACTGGGGAGGTGGTGGGAGAGTTGGGTAAGATGTTAATGAGATCAGGATCAACCAGGTCATTCTCTGCCAGCAGGTCTAAGATCCCATCCATGCCACCCATGCCATCTGTGACATCTGCAAACACAATGAGAATGTATATTAGCCTCCTATACACACAAGCAATAAGTGGAAGTGCTTGGTGGGGTGGATGTGAAAATGTCTGACCGTTGTTGGGATTAAAAGCCTGGAGGCCAGCAGAAGTGGGGAACACGAGGATGTGAGTGCAGGAGGTGTCCTGAGGAGTGTTTAACTGCGACTGCATGTTCAGGGTCGTGCTGCGGCCAAACACGGAGCCCGTGGACACTGAGTCTATGGAGAAACAGAAAAGGGAGGGAAAATTATGAACTTTCATCAAATATGCAAAAGTTTCTAAAGGTCTGAAAGGATACAATGAACAAAGACAAAGTACAGAACAACCGCTCTGTGTGAAAGCGCCATATTAATTACCTGGCATGATGACAAAGGAAGCCTGTGGTTCCATGGCGACTAGACAGGTACTGAGGATGCTAGGACTGTCCGCGGCAGAGATGCCGCACATCCTACACATTTCCTTCAGTCGTCTGCTGAGAGACTGCAAGTTTCGCCTACTCAACATAATACTCCAATCTGATTGGAGTAAAAACAGCAGTTAGATCAATAGCAAATGGCACATGATGCCAAACACTTAGAATAATTGCAAAACCTACCACGTAACTCCCCGTGACCGATCCTTCCGAGCCGGCCAATCACAATGCGCCAAGGAAGTGAGGTCATCTGTACGAGGCCCAGGCACCATTCCCAAAGCTTCTGAAGGCCCTGTCGTCGTGCAGAGCCCTTTTTCCTCCGAGCTCTGTGTGAAAACACACAAACGCCCCAGTCACAAACAGAGGCCTGGGCTTGAGCAAAACTAAGTCAAACAAAGACCAACTCTTGAGTGCTCACCGGTTGGGTACGTCGATGCTGATGACGCAGGTTTCCAGCAGCTCTCCGTACTGGTCTGTGCATGAAGCCAGGAGCCACCTCTGGTCATGTGACAGGCAGTAGGCCACAAACAGCACGTTGTATTTCTGGGCAGCCTCTCCGAAAGTCTCACCCAGCTCTGTCTGCTTGTCCTTCACTGGTGCCAGGACGAACGGCGGTGCGTAGAGATGTAAACACTCTGGTCTCTGAGGAGGGCAAGGACCAAGAGGTCAATACTATGATTTATTACACAGCCCTTTTTCTCAATATTTTTTTTTATGTATGAAAACTGCACAACTGATCATTGTTTCTGGAAAATTATTTATGTGTAATCTCAGGTTCAAGCCTTCTTTTTTTTTTTTGATGCCACCGACCCCAAAATGAGATGATCCTTTTGAAAGACCTTGTTTTAAAATAAGGCAGCTATACACTACTGGTCAAAAGCTCAAGAAAGATCTCTTATTATGAATGCTGAAAAGAGCTTTTGCTGAAAAGTTTAGGGTAAGAAAAATTTTAATTAAGAATGGTAAGAAAGATAAAAGATAGATTTTTAATTCAGCAAGGAGTCATTACAATGGATCGAAAATGACAAGATATTAATAATGTTAGAAAATATTTCTTTTTCAAATGAATGCTGTTAATGGAACTTTCTATTCATCGGAGATTAATAACTGATATAAAAAAATATTTAATTAAATATTACAAATATTGAATATTTAAACATTAAAATATTAAAAATAGAAAACAGATATTGTAAATCATAAGAAAATTTAACAATATTGTATTTTTATCAAATAAAGGTTGCCTTGATGAGAATTCAAAGACATTCAAAAATCTTCTTATTGCAAACTTTATACCGATAATGTATATTTTCATGTATAAAGATGCTTTCATACTGAGACCAATAAAATTACAAACTTTTTTTTACAGAACATAATATTCATTTTTTAAATAATATTTAATTATAAAAAATAAAATAAAAACACATGTACAGTGCATCCGGAAAGTATTCACAGAGCTTCACTTTTTCCACATTTTGTTATGTTACAGCCAGTTATTCCAAAATAGATTAAATTAATTATTTTCCTCAAAATTCTACAAACAATACCCCATAATGACAACGTGAAATAAGTTTGTTTGAAATCTTTGCAAATTTATAAAAAAAAAAAAAAAGAAAGTCCAAAATAGATTAAATTAATTATTTTCCTCAAAATTCTACAAACAATACCCCATAATGACAACGTGAAATAAGTTTGTTTGAAATCTTTGCAAATTTATTAAAAAAAAAAAAAAAAGAAAGAAAAAAAATATCACATGTACATAAGTATTCACAGCCTTTGCTCAATACTTTATTGAAGCACCTTTGGAACCAATTACAGCCTCAAATCTTTTTGGGTAGGCCTATGATGCGACAAGCTTTGTTCATCAGCATTTGGCAATTATCTGCCATTCTTCTCCTCACCTCTTAAGCTATCAGGTTGGATGGGGGCAGGCGCAAATTTTCAGGTTTCTCCAGAAATATTTGATTGGGTTCAATCCCAGGCTCTGGCTGGGCCACTCAAGGACTATAGGCCTTTTCGCACCGCTTTAGTTCCAGAACTAAACGTATGGTACTAAAGTACTGGGACGATTTTGCGCTAACTATTTCCCG